GAAGAAGATGGACGAATTACTGAAGAGGTGAGAATTCAGAGCCATTTATAAAGAGAAACTAACACCTTTTTGGTATTGACTTCTTTTCAACAATATTCTGATCCCCTCTTCGGATCGGACTGCTACAAGATTTTGTGTTCATGTGGTAGTGCCAATGTGGTGGAGACCTGTAGGCCCACACAAATGAGGTTATCTGAACACGAAACTGCCAGCAAGGCTTCGTGGCTGCCAAAATCGGAAATGGTCGGGGTCATGGCTCGCACGGGACAACAGATAAACTGGTCTAATGCCATAGGCTTAGCTGGGTATGGAAATTTACCAGAAAGAGGAAGATTAAAGAGACAAAAGAAATCAACAAAACAGCCATCACTCTGAATAGAAGGCATAAGAGTAGGAAGTTTAGTGGAAATTACTTGTGACTGTTGGATAGGATTAGAGAAAGAGAGGGGAGAACGAGAAGTACCACCGAGCAAGAGGAGGAGGCCTGATTAGGCTGGAATCTGGTTCTGACTCTGACTCTCACTCATTTCAATAGCAAGCCATGCATACAAAGCGCGTGCAATTGAAGGCACTCACATGCGGTACCGTTGCAGGCTCAAAGAAATACGTGTTTTAGGGGAGGAGGCGGCTGTTAAGCCACAATTGCATTCGTTTCACGTTTCGTCTGTAGCCCCTTACATTTTCAGCAAACCATAAGATATCCAACCAAATCATGAGATGCCTCATCAAGTAGCTTGAAGTCGGTCACCTTTCTTGCCTTCATGTTTTTAAAGAATTATCGTTAATCATGGGGTCCTGCTCTGAGGATGTCCGTCACATGACGGACGAAAAATCCGCAAGAATTCATCAGAGTCGCAAGGTGGTGCGCCGAAGCCTTTTTCGCACAAATGTACAATCTCAGCTCCAAGGCAATCCCCCTACAGCTTCCGGTGAGACCAAATTACGAATTTCTTCCAGTCGCCTCTTTAACCGAATTGGAAGATACACCAACATCAATCACGTAAGGGATTCTTCGAACCCCAGTTTCTCCGCATATTCGCATTTTGTTTTCATCTAAGCATTACCAAATGTCTACTGCTTGGGCTCACTCTCCTTGCAAAACATTAGAGTTTGTCATGGTAGGAATCAACATAGTCTTAGTTACTAAAGTGTTTGTCATGTTAAGTAACGTGTGATCATAGTAGTTGCTTGACCTTCGCAACTTGGTCGTATTGACAGAAAGACCTGGAGGAACACACCTAGTCCGGAGTCCATAGTATGCATGATAATTTACAGAGACGGACCACAGAGGTGGTACATTCCCAAACCTTTCGCCGGCATCTTCATTGAGCAATGCCATTCTTAACACCAAACTCCATCTCGTCAAAGAGACAAGTGAGTCGATCCTTTGACTAATTGTCTGCTAAACAGTTGTGCTATCTCTCCCTCCGTCCTGGGTTATTCACCCGCCCTCTATCTTCGCATCATCCCTTCAATATCACAGTTTCCCACATGTTTATTTCGACCTGGTTCTGATGTTCCCTGTTTTATAGGATGGCATGAGACCTGTTGGAGTAACTTTCCTTTCGCTTAAGGAGGCGAGTGGAAATAATTCGTAAGTTCGTCTCACCGGAAGCTGTAGGTGGACTGCTTTGGAGCTATGATTGCAGATTTATGCGAATAGGTCCTCGGTGAACAAATCTACTATCATAGCTAAAAGGCAATTCCCCTACAGCTTCATGTAAGACCAACTTACGAATCCCTTCCAATCGCCTCTTCAAACGAAATGAAATGTACGCAAGCATCACTTTTTTTCCACACTCTGCATCAAGCCTTTAATATCAAGTATACTTCCCCCTTACTTAGCAGTTGCCCAACTTCAGATTCTCAAAATGGATGGGAAACTAACTCAAGGATAAAAATCGTCCTATCCCCGTTCGTCATGAACACTGGGTAATTCTCATTGTCAAGCATTTGCTTCAGTGATCACGTCTATGATCAAACACATCTTCTGTTATCTTTTC